CACTGACCTATATAATTTCATTCAATATCGTATTGACACACTGACCTACATAAATTCCAAGAATTTACGCATTCTTACTACTACTATTACTATTACTACGAACAGCTGTACTACAGATATTTTGAATGGAAATCTTTCAAAGCCAATATCTTCGGAACGAGAAGTCGTACAGACTTGATACAAATATCATTTTCAAGGGTATTGTATTCTCTATTTATTTAAATATTGCAATAATATCGTTATAATAAAATCAATTTTGTTAATAATTTTTCAAAATGAATATTTCCATTTCTAATAAGAATATAACTATAATTGCATTATTTGTATTTTTATTATAATTCTTTAAGTTAATTATTGAATATATTAAAATTCAATATTTATATTAATTTTTTTTTGTTTATTTAAAAAAAATGAAAAACCTATTAATAGTCGTTAATGTACGAAATTGAAAAACCTAAAATTCGATAATATTAAAGATCTTCGTTATTGCCTCATTCTGTATACATGCATACATACATATACACATACATACATACATACATACATACATACATACATATGTATATATATATATATATATATATATATATATATATATATATACACATCTTCTGAATATTGGATAGAAATAGAGACAAGAGGCAGAAACGATTTGACAAGAGATGACGAATCACGAGGATCGAAAATTTAATTGGATCGCGGGTAATCACGGAGGATTCGATCGACCGTTAACTTCCTATCGGCCTTTCACCTCTCCTTCCTCCGAATTTTCGAATTTGCTTGATAATTAACTCCATTGGAGAATTTCTAATTATGTTTGCCACGCAGGGAACTTGTAATCGTTGCCGATAAAAATATAGCTTCGATATTCGATCATTTCTATATATATATATATATATATATATATATATATATATATATATATATATATATCTTTTTCTCATTCTGTCTCTTTCTCTTTTATATACACAAATACATAAGCACGCACGCACGCACGCACGCACGCACATACGCACACACATACCCTTTCTGTAAAACCTGTGCTTGTTAATGAACTTTCAGTACACTTCGAGTTAATTAAGCTTTCATCGGCCTTCTATTTTTCTTCTCGTAAAACTAAAACGAATAGAATTTCAACAATTCCGAAGGATAGTATTCTAAACTCCTCGAGAACGAATGGAATGTATATATATATGTATATGTATATGTCTAGGAAGTATTCGAGTTATCTGATACGTCTAAAGTGTATATTTTACTTCGAATGTACGAACTTATCAAAACGTCGGTTTATCAAACGTACGTTCCGCAATGTTAGGGGAGAATGATAAAAACGAAGGAACACGTTTATTGCCAAAGTTTCATGAAAACTTTTCATACGATTTGCCAAACTTCCTGGGAGGTACACCGAACCCGCTTTCGAACACGAAAACGTGAAAATTCTTATCGTTAATAGTACTAACCTTACCTTCTATATTTCCTTTTTCTTTTTTTCGTTTTTTTTTCTTTTTTTTTTTTTTTTGTATTTAAAGTTGATACAATCTATCGATCAGCTTCCATTTTTATAGATTTTATATATTTTTTCATTGGAAACATCGAAACTTAAGAACGAACATAATGAATGATTAATATTGGTATATTATTTTTATAATTGTTTAATATCACGTTCTAAAAATATTCTTCATAGAAAAAAAGTCGATCGATAATAGATATATATATATATATATACATATATATATGAGAAAGAAAGAGAGAGAGAGAGAGAGAGAGAGAGAGAGAGAGAAAGCTTTTGTATTTAGGTCATAATCGTTTTTCATAATGAACGAATGAACTTACTGAAATTCTTCTGAACTTTTTTCTGGCATAAAAGATTCAACAACTTCGTACTACAATTAGTTACATTGCATTTTACAGAAGTACCTACCTATTCGAGAGAACAAGGATAAAAAGGAAGTGGTGAGAAATTGAATGAAGCCAAGTTAGAATAAGTCAGCAATTGTCTTTTTCCTTCTGTCGTTATTGTCCAAGAGAGTGTCCTGTTAATTGTAAAAATGACAAAATAAATTGATAACGATAAGAACGAGGAAAAATTTGGATAATTATTAATGGAATACAATATTGTTACGGTTTAAAATTTATTTATCTTTTTATATATCGAAGATTTTAAATATGAGATATATATGTTACTCTTTATAATTTTTTTTTCTTTTCAATTGAAATTTTCTTTCCCATCGTACATATATATATATATATAAATTTTACGAACTGAAGAAGTTAATAAGGAAACATATTGAATCTACTTTACGACGTATTTTGGTGGATTAACGTTGTCGGTGACAATAAAGTTAGACGAAAGGGCCAAGGACTTCTTACGTCGTGTCGCATCTCCTTTTCTTTGCTTCTCGTACGTAATCTCAATTTTGTGAAGCTCCAACCAGGATTTATGTATAGCGATAAGAAGCTTACCTCTTATGCACGCTAATGTAACTCTCCGCATGGATCA